TATGCCTAGCCCTACTGTGTAATTAGCACTGCAATGACGTTATACAGGTCTTGAACAGTAGCTGGCGCTCTTCCAAAAAAAAAAAAGATCCGGCAGTGATGTTTCAGTCCCACAAATGATAGTGCGAGTAGCACGGGGTATGAAAGCGTATTAAGCCAATAGCAGTCAAGTGGTTAATGAAAACATTGTAAAGGCTATATAGTCTTAATATCAGTAAGAATTTGATGTAGACTCACACATAGAGGTTCCAAATTGATTGACAATCAAACTATTTTGAAAGAATAATATTTGAGAGCAAACTTTTACATCAGTGAGCAGAGACGTACTTTAAATGATGTCCTAGCTAGAACCCCTTTCTTGGAGGCTAACACGATTGTCTACCTGGCTATCAAATTATTTCTCAATGGACAATTTTGGTTAATCTAGCTAGCTTCATGATTAAATTCCCTTTATGACATGGATACTAAAACTATTATCTAGAGATATCATTTACATACAATCAGACTGGGTGATGATATATCAAACAACTAAGCATAATTAATTTTGCATTTTCCCGAAGAAACCAAGGAAGCCTCAGTCTTTAGAAACAATGTTTCTTTAATGAGATCAGACTGAGTGATGCTGTCGAACAACTTAATAATATTAAATTTGCATTTTCCTTGGGCAAACTAAGGAAACCTTGGTCTATAGATCGAAAAAATGATGGCGGTGGTGCTCAGTTTAATGGTGTAGGTTTATCTACACAGTTTTGAGTACAACCAGGGGGAGGGTGGGGGGGGGGGGGAAGGATCTGCACATGGTATGCATTTTTAAGAGAGGAAAGACAAGAAACTAACAACCATCACATCATGGTATAAATAGGCAATTTTGCTCTCCAAACTTCACAACATTTAGGCCTTGATAACAATTTATAAAGAGCTATTGTTTGCCACAGGCTCCATATGCCTACACTCTCATAGACCTCAGTGAGAATGGCAAGCAAGGAAACTGCTGAATATGGAGAGATTTTTTTTCCTTGCTAAGTAATCAAATAGGAGTAATTTCAAGATATTTTTGACCGGCTCTGAATTTGTTTTATTAAGGCTATCACTTAAAATTTGTTAAGTTTTATTCTCCTGAACACAAAGACCCTTGCACCCAAGAAGATCTGGAAGCACTGACCATAGCAACTCCAGAAGAAGAAGAAGACCACTTAAATATTCCCTCTGATGATTTTTATTTATTTTATTTTTTATTTATTTATTCATTTATTTATTTAATTGTTTTTGTTAAGAAATGTGAATATAAATACAGGTGTTATATACATGCCGTAGGTGATAGATATATGATTGCAATGAGAAATTAGTACTAGTAAATAAAACAAATGCATGTATAGATTAGCTGCTTAACGATTTTTACTTTTTTGAGGCGCTTCATGATCATTTGGAAGCGCAATTCTTTTTAGGGCTTCATATTACACCATATCACAGACACTGATGACACGTAGGGCCATTCATCTAAGATTTAACGTTGTTAAACGATGCCTTTAATAACGAATGCAGATTTCTGGGTATTATTTATTTCAGTGTTAGGAGTAGGATGTATCAATGCAAACAGATATAGGATATTTATGAAAGAATAAATAACTTAATCATCCTACTGAAAGAAACTTGAATGTTTAAATATACAAGAATTGATTTAAAAAAAAATCTATTTATTTATCTTAAGGTTAAGAATGTAAATATGAATACAGCTGTGTTATATATATCCTAGGTGATAGTTATGAGAATGCAATGAGAAATTAGTACTTGTAAATAAAACAAATGCATGTATAGATTTGCTGCTTAACTGTATTGTCAAACAATGCAGGTCCAGACTGTCAGGCTTTATCGTCTCCAGTGTCTCACACCAGCGTCATCACTTCACCTAGCAGAAGCACTGTGTTCTATGCCAAACCTGACTGACCTGACACTCGCTAATTACGCATTCACTGAGGAGTTCTACTCTGCATTGAAAGCAAAGGCACCATCCATTCAGGTATGTTTGTCCTAATGTGAATGTCATGGAAAGGGTCATTGAAAAAGGAAAGAATAGTATTGATGATATGATGTCTATGTATACATGTCTTTTTAAAATTCCAAACACCTTTTTTTAAAAATTATAATCCATTTACCCAAAATGTCTAAATAGTCATGAAATATGGAATGAAAGCAAACTGTAGAATCGCATAGATACTTGAAATTCCATTGTGTATTAGATTAATATTATTTTGATCACTAATCAATATCCGACCGGTTCTAATTTCGATAAAGACTTGAATTTACCAAAACTGTACAATAACCACATCCTTTTGACTTAGCTTTCTTGTGACATGAAACCAGAGTTATGAATACCTTCACTATGTTAAAGGGATTGGGTAACTTTGTCTCAGATTCTGAAACAAATTCCTAGATTTAGCGCATGCTGCAATTATAATTATAAACCTTTAGGTCAGTCAGGAACTCTATAACTTTTACAAGTCGATCGCTTGTTAGATTATCAATATATTTATGATTCGAAATCGAAATCAAATTTTTGTGTTTTCCTAACAGTTTTCATAACACTACAGTCTATTTTGGAAAACAAGTATGGTAAAACCAGTCACTCCACGATTTTTATGCCTCCGCCACCGAAGGTGGTGCCGGAGGCATCATGTTTTCGGGTTGTCCGTCCGTACGTCCGTCCCGTTTGACCGTTATCACAATATCTCAAGAACCATTTAAGATTTAAACTTAAGACTCGGGAATAGTATTTATCACCATAGGAAGACGATCTGATTAGATTTTGGAGTACGTAGGTCAAAGGTCACAGGTCACAGAGGTCAACTTATGAAATTCCTTGTATTGAGTTTGTTAGCGCGATTTCTCAAGAACCATTTGAGATTTAAACTTCAAACTTAAGGATAGTATGTATCACCATAGGAAGACGATCTGATTAGATTTTGGAGCAGGTATGTCAAAGGTCAAGGGTCACAGAGGTCAACTTATGAAATTCCATACATTGAGATTGTTATCATGATATCTCAAGAACCACTGGAGATTTAAACTCCAAACTTAGTGATAGTGTGTATCACTATAGGAAAACAATCTGATTACATTTTGGAGCACGTAGGTCAAATGTCAAGGGTCATAGAGGTCAACTTATGAAATTCCATACATTGAGATTGTTATCATGATATCTCAAGAACCACTGGAGATGTAAAAACTTCAAACTTAAGGATAGTATGTATCACCATAGGAAGACGATCTGATTAGATTTTGGAGCACGTAGGTCAAAGGTCAAGGGTCACAGAGGTCAACTTATGAAATTCCATACATTGAGATTGTTATCATAATATCTCAAGAACCACTGGAGATTTAAACTTCAAACTTAATGATAGTGTGTATCACCATAGGAAGACAATCTGATAAGATTTTGGAGCACGTAGGTCAAAGGTCAAGGGTCACAGAGGTCAACTTATGAAATTCCATACATTGAGATCGTTATCGCGATATCTCAAGAACCACTGGAGAATTTTCACTTCAAACTTAATGATAGTATGTATCACCATATCATAATATCTCAAGAACCACTGGAGATTTAAACTTCAAACTTAATGATAGTGTGTATCACCATAGGAAGACAATCTGATTAGATTTTGGAGCACGTAGGTCAAAGGCCAAGGGTCACAGAGGTCAACTTATGAAATTCCATACATTGAGATTGTTATCATGATATCTCAAGAACCACTGGAGATTTAAACTCCAAACTTGTTTAAATTGCTCTATGGCGGAGGCATCATTTTCGACTGCGCGCAGTCGAAATTCCATCTAGTTACTTTTTGAGGCACTTCATGATCATTTGGAAGCGCAATTTTTTTAGGGCTTTATATTACACCATATCACAGACACTGATGACACGTAGGGCCATTCATCTAAGATTTAACGTTGTTAAACGATGCCTTTAATAACGAATGCAGATTTCTGGGTATTATTTATTTCAGTGTTAGGAGTAGGATGTATCAATGCAAACAGATATAGGATATTTATGAAAGAATAAATAACTTAATCATCCTACTGAAGGAAACTTGAATGTTTAAATATACAAGAATTGATTTTTAAAAAAAATCTATTTAGTTATCTTAAGGTTAAGAATGTAAATATGAATACAGCTGTGTTATATATATCCTAGGTGATAGTTATGAGAATGCAATGAGAAATTAGTACTTGTAAATAAAACAAATGCATGTATAGATTTGCTGCTTAACTGCTTTGCCAAACAATGCAGGTCCAGACTCTCTGGCTTCAAGATCCCCAGTGTCCCACACCAGCCTCATCACCTCACCTAGCAGAAGCACTGTGTTCTATGCCAAACCTGACTGACCTGACACTCGCTGGAGAGGCATTCACTGAGGAGTTCTACTCTGCATTGAAAGCAAAGGCACCATCCATTCAGGTATGTTTGTCCTAATGTGAATGTCATGGAAAGGGTCATTGAAAAAAGAAAGAGTAGTATTGATGATATGATGTCTATGTATACATGTCTTTTTAAAATTCCAAATACCTTTTTTAAAATTATAATCCATTTACCCAAAATGTCTAAATAGTCATGAAATATGGAATGAAAGCAAACTATAGAAGAGCATATATAGTTGAAATTCCATTGTGTATTAGATTAATATTATTTTGATCACTAATCAATATCCAACCGTTTCTAATTTCGATAAAGGCTTGAATTTACCAAAACTGTACAATAACCACATCCTTTTGACTTAGCTTTCTTGTGACATGAAACCAGAGTTATGAATAACTTCACTATGTTAAAGGGATTGGGTAACTTTGTCTCAGATTCTGAAACAAATTCCCAGATTAGCGCATGCTGCAATTATAATTATAAACCTTTAGGTCAGTCAGGAACCCTATGACTTTTTCAAGCCGATCGCTTGTTAGATTATCAAGATATTGATGATTGGAAATCAAAATCAAATTCTGCATTTTCCTAACGGTTTTATAACACTAGTCTATTTGGGAAAACGAGTATAGTAATAACAAATGCAGATTTCTGGGTATTATTTATTTCAGTGTTGTTAGGAGTAGGACGTATCAATGCAAACAGATATAGGATTTTTTACTCTGCATTGAAAGCAAAGGCCTCATCCATACAGGTACTATTCATGTACTAATGTAAATTGTTATGGAAAGTGTCATTGCATGTAAGAAAGAGCAGACAGCAGTAATAGTTATATGTTACATGTATGTTTTTTTCTTCTCCAAACACCCTTTTTTAAATGCCATTTACTTGGTATATTGGAACAGTCATGAAATATGGAATAAAAGCAAACTGTACAGGTATGTGTGTCCTTATGTTAATGTCATGGAGGGTCATTTAAAGAGAGAAACAGCGATAATAGTTATATGCTGCATATGTATATACATTTTTTTTAACGTGAAAATGATACAACAGAAAACGATTGCTAGATCTACTTCTGTTGTTAGATCTAAATGTTCCCATTACTATGCTGAAATTTCATTTTAGCAACCAAATACCTTTGAATATACATAGCATGAATACCTACCGGTAGGCTCATATCCGAATATATCTCATATGAAGCTATTTTCATCCATGTTTGGCATTGTGTAGTGCTTTTACGTCTTTTAGTCTAAATACCTTGAGTTTCTTTTAAAACCTTATATCTTTGCTTAGTAATCACAATAAGTTTTGATACTCATTGCTGTTGCAAACCTAAATAAAAACGTGATCGTACCGAGATATCTTCCAAAAATGTGAAAGCATAATGATGAAGACAACCTCTCAAAATTAGTGTAAACATGCAGGTACATGAATTCAAAAGGTGTCCAAGAAATGTCACAGAAATAGTGATATTTCAGGAGTTAATTGATAGATTTAGTATCGGTATGGGCTTGGTGCGAGGTTCTTACACATGTCCTGTTCATATTGATCACTATGCGAGAATCCACTCTACTGCCCTCTGCGGTAAAAATCAGTAAAGCAATGGATTCGAGCTTAGTGATTAGCACTATTAAGCAATAGATGAGCATTTCATTAAAAATGTACCCAGTAACTCCTTGAATATAACTATTTCTGTGGCATTTCATGGAAGACTATCTGCTTACAATCATTTGGAGTAGTTGTCTTTTCCGATGTGTTTTCATAATTTTGAAAGATATCTTAGTACGATCCGGTATATTTGTTACGGTTTGTTTTGGCACATATTACACAGAGCTACCAACTAGTACGGATTTCCCTTTATTGGTACAGAAACTAACAATCATTACGAAAGTATGGAATGTTGTCTAAAATTACGGCAAACACGACCACACACAAAAAAACAAACAAAAATGTGAGCAGCGCCATCTCCGTGAGATGTGTTGTGATGACTTAAAAATTGAATGTTTAGCAATATTGTGTGACTAAAATCACCCCCCAAAAAGGCTAGGTATTAGTTTTACAGCATTTTATTTTCGTTCTTGGCGGCCATGTAGTGTTGTAGTGCCATTTTTTAAGATTAATAGCGCAGCATAGGGAATTATTGATTTATTCCTAAAATTACTGATTTTCTGTTCTGGAGGTTGGCAGCTCTGATTACAGCTAATGCTGTGTACTAGTGTTCCTTTCATGACTAATCCAAACTTGCCTAGCAACAGTGATAAATAATGGAACTTGTTATGATTACATCAGCTATTCAAAGAAGCATGCAGTGTTTAGAATAAGAAGAAAACAAATAGTCTTTAAAAATGTATTTGATTAGAAAAAGAATTTTCAGAAAGCCTTTTTTGTAATTCCAACATTGTTTTTTAGCATGATTCTTTCATCCTGAATAAATCAGAATGGTGGCTTGCATATTCTAATTCTAATTTTACATCAGATTTCAACATTTAGAGGCATCATATTAGTACTTAACATTGCCAAACACATATATTATGAACATAATATCAAATGGAATAATATACCAATCTGTGCTAAGGTACTCTTGTGTCGATTTATTTCATTGCTGACAAACATAAATTTTAAGGGGCTTATTTTTCATCGCCATCCAATTTCGGGAAACATGTACCTAATGTTTTGACCCTGGACCCGAGGCTCTCGGGCAGGACCCGGTTACCCAGTCCACCTTGTCCTTTTTTTTTGTTAGTGCCCTTCATTTTGAAGGATGCTCCTCCTGTCAATCCTATTTTGTTTAATTATTTAAAAAGGTAACGTTCAATTCCTATTTTGTTTATTGCGCTAAATCACAATTTAAGTAAATCTAATTAAAATAGTGCCTTCCGTGGGAACCCCCTCCACATACACCCCTCCCCCTCATCTATGTGGTATGTAAGCACATGGACAGAAAAGGACACATTCAGCAAAGAATCGGCCAAGGATCAAGGGATTAGATTTTGGGGTGAGATGTGAAAAGTCAAAGGTTACAGGGCTATGAAGTTGTGAAAATCACATAAATGTATTGATATATAAACACTTTAACCCTAATGAGCCCGGGGTATTTCGAGGGTTTCTAATACGGGGGGGGGGGATTATGACACCCCTAAGATATCGGCTATGGTTGGCTCTATGAAGATGAAAGTTCGTACACATATTGAATAAAGTATAATGAACAACAAGACAACAATAGTTTTTCAATTTCATTTCTTATAAATTTATTTATTTCTTATGTAATATGCAAATTTTTTCCAAATTTTTCTAAACACACCTACTTTGCAGTTTTACAGTGTAAAATGGTTGAAAAATTAGTTGCTTTATATATTTAAAAACTCCAACTGATGAACTACATGGTTTGTTTAAAACAGAAGTTAAGTAAAATACATTACAGTAGTTCAGTTGTCATGAATATGGAAATTGGCCAATAATAAAGGATGAAAAAGACAATATACTATTTCTTGTGTAAGATATAGCACCAACTATTTCTTATCTTGTTTATCATATTCTATGTTTTCTTTTGTTGAATGAACCCAAGATAGGTGGAATAGGAGTGTAAACCTTCTTAACAACGACAAAGATCAACTGATTTTGAAATGATCATCGATACTTCAATAGGCTAACACACTAGCAAATAGAGAAAATGCACATTTTGATTGACATGTGATCAATAATTGTCATTTGACACCCCTACTGTAGGTCCGGATTGCACAAATTTGGAATCAAAATGTGCGGGAGACTTGAAAGAAAAAATAAAGAAGTTCAAGTGGTAAAGACGCAGGGCAAAAACTCGGGGGGGGGGGGGGGGGGGGGGAGGGGGGGGGGGGGAGGGGGCGGCATTATGGCCCCCTGCCTGATTAGGGGTTAAACTAATATTGGCTCAAGTACTTGTAGTGAAACCAGAAAATAAGAACGCAGGCTCAAGTGTATACAGTTTGAAATCCTGCTTTATTAATGTCCAAGCAAAATATCAAACAAAATAGAATCTATTGGCAATCTTGCCACTCCCTACTGGTACATCTCATCTCTACAGGCCCTAGTCTATCTGCCTCGTGCCAATACACCAGGCGCCCTTTTATCGTTTCTTCTGGCATGTTAATCCAGACGCATAGTGCACGAGTACAAAACATTTGCATCACATAATAGGTACGATAAAGCAATCTATCACCTGACTGCATGCCTAGTTGCTATGTCAGACAACCAGGTAGCGTCTTATTTTGGGGTAACCAAGCGAGCCGAGATTCCAGTATGAACTCATTTTCGTACATCTTGTCAATCTTGTCAATAACAAGCTACGAAAGCTTGGAAAGAGATCACAAACAATTATACAAGTAGCTCTGTCTTGAAGTCCTGTGCAATCTCACGCACTAGACGCTGGAATGGCAGTTTTCGGATGAGAAGCTCAGTGCTCTTCTTATTTATTGCTTTGACTCACTATTTATAAAGGCAATAAATAAAACTGAATAAAAACTGAGATTCGAACCCACAACTCCTATGTTTTATGACCCTGTCCCTACCAATTGAGCTAACGATGGGTTGATGAAAGGTGGGTTTGCATGATTATTATAACCCTATCACTAACCCTAAGGCCATTACGAAAAATATACATGTTTAGCGTCCCCGCCCGTTTCCTTTTGGTGGTCGCCTCCTATTTTTTTTTTTTTTAATTAAAAACAAAAAACAAAACAAAACATGAAAAGCACTGCTAAAATGGATCTATTTCTGATTAAAAAATATCATTAAAAATTGTCGGCGGCCATCTTGAAAAATAGCCTGACTGTCAGGGAAAATGTACCGAGTGGCCATTTTGAGCGGCCATTTTGAAAGAAAAAAAAAAGGGCCTCCTGTTTCTTATTTTTCAAAAAAACAGTACGCTAAACATGTTGTTTTTTTTATTTGGCCTAACGGTTACCATGTGCGCATGCGCAGGTTTCCTTCCCGAGTGCGCATGTTCAGGTTTCCTTCGCAAGCTGGGCTACCTTGCTTACAAAAAAATAAGACGCAACAAGATTCTAGGCTATTAAGTCAGGACAGATCTTGGAAATAAATTATTCTCAAACACATTACTTACAAGAAAGTAGACAGCTTCCACCAACCCAAGCCATTTTAGGGTTGAATCTTAAACATAATGCTCTTCTGCTCTGTTGTATATCAACGATATCCAAGACAACATCCAGTCCACAATGCGTCTCTTCGCAGATGACAGCACCCTCTATCGTGAGATTCGATGCCCTGAGGACCATCAAATCCTAAAGGACGATCTCCAACAGCTGTCCAGGTGGTCTTCAAACTGGATGATGGACTTCAACGTGAAAAAGTGCGCTATCCTCACCATCACACGGAAGCGTACTCCCAGCATCCGAGAATACCACCTGTCAAATGGACTGATTCCGAGAGTGAAAGAGTACAAGTACCTTGGAGTAACGGTTGCTGCTGATCTCCGTTGGAACAAGCACTGCCAAACCATCCGGCATAAAGCAAGCCGTACTCTAGGTCTTCTTCGCAGGACTCTCTCACCCTGTACCAGGGATGTAAAGTCCAGGGCCTACACAGCCTTAGTGCGCCCCCAATTGGAGTATGCCTCGGAGGCTTGGAACCCACACAGCGTCACGGTCACAAAAATGCTAGAGCAAGTACAAAGAACAGCGGCTCGCTTTGTGTACCGTGACTACAGATACACCACATCACCATCAGCTCTTGTGGCAGCTCTAGGGTGGGACACGCTTCACACACGTCGAATCCTCGACCAATGCACCCTTCTCTACAAGATCCATCACCGACTTGTCCCCATACCTGCACCAACTATTGTTATCCCTGCTACATACTTCGGAAGACATGACCACAACCTGAAGTATGTAATTCCTGTTGCAACTATCGACTCCTTCAAGTTCTCATACTACCCAAGAGCAATAAGGATCTGGAACCATCTGCCAGGCTCAGCAGTCAATGCAACAGGAATAACCAACTTCAAGGAGGCTGCTCTACCCTCCATCAGAATGATGCAGCCCCCCGTTGGTTCTCACATCATATAAGCTTACTAGCTTGGTTTTTACTTGCACTGGACTTAGCATATTTTACTGTAAATTGACAAGTGCTTTGTCCACACACCATTCCAGCAATTCATGACACTCCTTGTAGTCACTTGCCTCACCTACCATCCCAGTATAGCTTCCTGAGTGAGCTGCCAAAGGGATTACCCAACCAAGTACCAAGTATCCCCTAATAGTATGAAAAAGTGGAAAGATTTGTCTAACGGGTAGTTGATTTGGATTTACTTGTTGCCGATACCATATTCCACTACTACTGATATAGTGGATACTACTACCAGTACTAATGTAAATCTCTTGTGCATAATTTGTCTTACCGGGTACTCTTAGCTTTTTTTAATTCTCCATACATTCTGTTTAAGGGATGTTCATTAACTTCACCTGTTGAGTGTGTATTCCCCAAGAAAATATAACATGCCAGAATGAAATAGATCCACTTACTTGAAACTGATACAAGGTTTACAAGCAATTTTGCTATTACGTTTTACAGGGTTGTTTTCCTCAGATCAGGAAGGGAAACTTCAGGTTCAATGGAGATGCTCAAGATGACTTGAACTCATTTCTTGACACCCTCACATGTTTGCAAAGGTCAGTACAGTATATGTGATAAACAAAATTAAGATTCAGGTAACAGCATGTAGACTTTTCATGAATAGTGCGATATATAAATAATTAAGAGCCTCTAGTAGAATACTAAGAAAAGCTGCATTGCTGATACTTCTTCAGGGAGCATGTGATAAAGTGATACTGTTTACCTTTAAAAAGAAAGAAGAAGATGTCTTACAGTACTGAATATTTAGAAACAGCTTTATTGAACAAATTTCCAACTGTAAATTGAAATCAGTCAACCTAAATTTTGTTGATTTTTGTGTTCATTATATATACTGTATACATATGTTGTTGTTGTTTTTTTGAGGGGGGGGGGGAAGGGGGGCTGAAGTCTCTTTTATTTATTTTTTCTTCTTCAGTCACTGATCAAAATGTTTCTTGAGACTAGTACTTTCAATAAGACCAATAATAGTTGATTTTTTATTTCTCATCTTGCAAACAAATAGTAAGAAAAAATATGTTTCCTTTATAGCTCAGCCGACTTGGCCAACTCAAACGTTACTCTGTTTACCATCATTCATTACTGTCTTTATCAACCTTATTTCAGGTCACTTCGCCATTTTTCCAATCTTCTATCAGGCATGTCTGCTGCGTACCACACCCCTGCTCCAATTGAGCCATTCAGTGGTTATTATTGCAGTCCTGGGTTTAGAGAGGCTTCTTACAATCCTACCTACCATCCCACTATGTCAAGTTCTGCTCAATCTCCTAACCCTCCAGTCTCAAGACATGATGAACCTACCATGTTTGCAGGGTACCTTTCACCAAAACAGTATCAACCGTCAGTTCATGAGAGCACAGGTGCTACACATACCGTCATGCCTTGGTCAAGTCAGGATCCCTACACTCGATCCTCCCATGCCACTCCATCCAGCTCTGCTCTTTCGTGTAACCCTCCAGTCTCTGGATATCATCAACCTGCCATGTCGAGACGGCACATTTCAGATGCACCATATCAACCAATGATTGTAGAGCGGTCAGGATCTAGCCGACCTCCGCCTAGTAAAAATCAATCCACTACAGGATTCCATTCAGCTTCCCATTATCCACCAATTGCATGGGAAAGAACAAGTAGACCAGCTTTTTCCAGTCAGGTATCACATTCCACCAACTTTTTGTTCCCAATCCAAAGTACAAGCAGTAGTGGTAGAGACCACCCTCAACAGCAACCCATGGGTGATGTATACTATCCAAGAAGGACATTACCACCATCAGATCAACCTCAACAGCAATCCATGGGTGATGTACACTCTCAAAGAAGGACATTACCTTCATCAGACCACCCTCAACAGCAACCCATGGGTGATGTACACTCTCAAAGAAGGGCATTACCACCATCAGACCACTCTCAACAGCAACCCATGTTTGATGTACACTATCCAAGAAGAACATTACCTTCATCAGACCACCCTCAACAGCAACCCATGGGTGATGTACACTCTCCAAGAAGGACATTACCACCATCATACCACCTTCAACAGCAACCCATGGGTGATGTACACTATCCAAGAAGAACATTACCACCATCAGACCACCCTCAACAGCAACCCATGGGTGATGTACACTCTCCAAGAAGGACATTACCTTCATCAGACCACCCTCAACATCAACCCATGGGTGATGTACACTATCCAAGAAGAACATTACCTTTATCAGACCACCCTCAACAGCAACCCATGGGTGATGTACACTACCCAAGATGGACATTACCTTTATCAGACCACCCTCAACAGCAACCCATGGGTGATGTACACTACCCAAGATGGACATTACCTTCATCAGACCACTCTCAACAGCATGTTGGCAGTACATCAGATACTCTATGTCAATACTCTCAGACACACAGAGAGGGAAGCTGCAGTCGGAGCAGGCCCTGCAAGAGGCAAGTTCCTTCTACTCAGTCAAGAGCTCCACAGGATGATCCTGAAATGCCAGAGAAGCAATCAAAGTATGAGGTCTAGTTGCTATGATATCGGTAGAGTAAGACAGTTTCCCAGTGGCAACACTTCATCTTGACTTTGTGTATATAATGATACAGGGCTCCACACTGACCGTTTTGGGGGAAAAGAGGTTGAGATTAAACTTTTTGCAGAAAGGGACCATGTTGTGTGGAAAACGTTTTGAAAATACTCCAAATAGGAATCATTTTTGACTTGGCTATGATCATGTATAGAAGGTGACAACAACTAGTTGTTATAATGATAATAGCAATGGCTTCTGATATAGTACACATGCCATTATACCATATGACACTCAAACATTATTACAATGGTCCTAGGCGGCTGAATATGTAGCACTTTGGCATATCGTGTGCTGATGTGTACCTGGGTGGAGAGTGGCAAATGTAGATTAATGCCTTAATTGTCAAGGATGTTTAACCAATTTGTTTTTGGTGATTTGTATGCAATGTATGAAATAAAACTCAACTTTCCCAAAGTGAGTTATGAGGTTATGTATATAATATTTCAAATTGCCTTATTAAAATTTCACTGTATTTGTCAATGCCATTGCACACATGTTCAAAACAAATATAATTAAGTAGAATCTGAATGAACTTGTGAATTAATTACCAGAAATGACTCGGATGTTAAGAGCTATATTGCTCTAGTTATCATGTCAGCAAACTTGATAGAACTTGGTATACTTGAGAACTAGCTTTGTCTGGTAAGGGTGGAATGTCATAGGCCAGAGTAATCAGTGTAACATTTTATCCGACATTGATTGTTGTTTTAAATTTAGAAATACATCCACTTCTAGATTCTAAAATTCATTTAAGGAAATATATTTCCAGGACTTTCTTTACATCACTCCAGTGTATATGTTAATATGCTGCTATAATTGTAAGATACATATCTCTTTGTCAACGTACCATGCCTGAGTTATCAGTGTAATATTTAATTTCACATAGATCATTGTTTGTATATGTTTATCTACATTCACCAGAACTTAACAATAAATCCAGTTGAAGAGATAGTTTCCTGCATTCTATTTACATCACTCCAGTGTATATTTAAATATGCTGCTATACTATATTAAGATACTTGTCTCTTTTTTCAATGAAACATGCCTGAGTTATCAGTGTAATATTTAATTTGAAATGGATTATTGTTTGTACATGTTTAGCTACATTCACCAGCATTATGATAAATTCAGTTGAGGAAATATTTTCCTGGATTTTTTTATTGTCATACCACTGTACATGTAAATACGCTGCTATACTATTAAGATACTTGTCTCTTTTGTTAATGTAACATGCCTGAGTTATCAGTGTAATATTTGATTTGCCATGGATAACTGTTTATACAAGTTATAACTACATGTAGGCTACATCCACCAGTACTATATAATAAATCTAATTGAGGAAATATTTACCAAGTTTTTCTATATCATTCCAGTGTATATGTAAATATGCTGCTAAAACCATACCATACATGTTTATTCTAATTGTATCCAGTTCTGCATTTCAATAATGTTGGTGATATATATTCCAGGCTTTTCTTCGCATTATTCCATTATGATTATGCGATGGTATCATACATGTATATTTTGAACTTGTATATGTTTGCCAAACTTGCCTTGTAAATAAGTTTTATATTTTAGTAAGTTTGCATTCCTGATTGGCTTATCAGATACAAACATAAATAGTACTCTCATGAGCATTCTGTTACCTTGCCTTTTGATCACTGTTCTCTTCTGATTAAGTGATGTCATTTTTATAATCCGCTCGGATCTTCATAATAGACAATGTGAATCGCTCGGATCTGCGAGTTTATCCAGATTTGTTCATTCAAAAGGATGTACTAAACAGGTCTTTCTATGGTAGTTAATTATGAATAACTGAAATGAAGTTTGCAATGCTGTAGATATTTCAACATTTTGATAAAGTTGTAGTTTGATGATTGTGTATTTTTTAGTGACTATCCTATTAGCTGAAACAGTGTCATGTGACAATCAAAATGTTTTTATACATGCATTCGCACAATTTTGCAAGATGACAACCTTATTTTTTATGATAGAACGCGTGCAAATAGTGAATTAGATTGCGCACATCTCTTCTAGTTCTCTTAGCGTTATCCATTGTTTGCATTGTGACGCGAAGGCAACCTGAAAGTAATCAAGATGGTCCGACACCAAAGGTTCGCAAATACCAACAATTTTTTATAACCAATATTGCATGCATTTCATTCTTTAATGTTATATGTATTCATCTCCTAATTCAGTATTCCCCTCTTGCCGTTTTATTTCAACCTCAGCCTATGGCCTCAGTGAATTATAATATAGCTCAGGAATTTTTGTATTTTTTCAGTTCATATACATGTACATAATTTATATATATATATGTACGGATTGTTAATCTATGCAAATGTGATTACTGAATGAAGATGTAATAATATGATAATTTCCTTTGTCATTTGGTTAGATATACATTGTTGCTTGTTTTTGTCCATAAATTCTAGCACATGTTTTCCTACATTCTCAGAAAAAATGATGAAGGCTACAAGTACTTTCATCAAAATGTCAAAGTGGTTGAATACATGTAACTATTTTTGATAGATGTAGGTTAGCAATCTATATCTGCTGCACCAATATTTTATACTTCATAATTGATGTGTATTATTTTGATTGCATTGTTCTTTAAGTCCCTGATACAAAGTGTATTACGCTTCAACCTAATCTGACTGATACCAGGAATATGTTAGAACGTCCAAGAAAGGTAGTGAAATGCATCATAGCTGCAGTGGATTTACCATCAATCGAAGATCTGTACCAGAATAATGTCCTTCTAAAAGTGATACAGATAATGCAGGACCCAAGCTCGCATCCACTGAGTGTAAACTGATCAGGAACACACCTGTGTGCACCGCAAACTCAATGGGCATGTTTCTGGGATGTTTCAGACAATCCTTTGTCCCTAAGTCTATTGTTTATCCATCTGTTTAACTCCAAAGCAAGACGAGTTACACCATCATGAAGTAACCTTGTAAATGTCCAATAGTACAGATTTGTCATCTCTCCCTCTCTCTCTGTTTACTCGTTCTCTTGTTCTATATCCCCCTACTTTCTCTTTCCCCCTCCCCCTCCCCCTCTCTCTCTCTCTCTCTCCATCTCTCTCTCTCTCTCTCTCCATCTCTCTCTCTCTCTCTTCTCTATCTCTCTTTATCTTCTCTCCCCTGTATCTTTGCTAAAATTCCTACTTGTGCACATACATTGCCAATACATAGATTTCATACTGTATCTAAATTATCAATAATCAATTATGCCACAAAATAATAATGTACTGGATTGTCTGAACACAACATGATCTAGCCACACTATATCAATGGCACTGAATGTAATATATTGATAAATGATATTGGATAAGTAATACGATGCAGTATTAAGTAAGTAGGTAAGTAACTACTATCAATGATGACAATAACGATACTGATGATAATAATTATGATGACAAATAATGTGAGCTCATTTTGTTATCAACCTTTCTGATGGAATTGATTGTAAGGATGACGATATAACTATTTGTGTATGTTATGTATGTATTTTGTTTCATTATGTGTATGTTGTATTACTTGTACCAACCAGCGGAAATCAAATTTCCTGATATGGACAATGAATTATATACTTATACCTATACTTGTTTCAAAAGAAGTCATGATTATAAGTTGAATAAAAAAGGAAGATTTAACTATACCTTCTGTATCTCTGATCTCTTTGTCTGATGTGAAATCTAGGAGAGAGAGAGAGGGGGGGGGGGGTGAGAGAAACAGATACACTATTTTATAGTGAGTAAGAGAGACAACAAAAAAGAGGTGCAGAAAAGCGAGATGCTTAGAAAACTTAAAAACATGAGTGAGAGGGTAGTTTTTTTATAAAGTGGGTATTGAAAAGAAAGCAGCCTTGGACAGAGCATGGGAAACGGTGATAGCTAGATGACTTTGGAGGGAGACTGAATGAGAAGATAGATAAATGGTGAGAGAAAGAGAGAGAGAAAGGAGAGGAGGATCACAAAGGAGATAGAGCGGGGGGGGGGGAGCAATGTTGAGAGATACGAAGAAGGATGATGAAGGAAGAGGGGGGGGGGTGTGGGGGTGCAAATAGAGAGAGAGAGATACCTGCATGCATGTAGCAATGAGTGATAATGGGGATGAATGATGGGGAGAGGGGGTGGGGGTTGAGAGAGAACGAGCAGGAGAAACGGTAATAGGGTGATACAGAGAGA